GAGCTTGTGTGGTTAGTCATCATCTGAGTTATGGGAACTGTTGAACTTTTTTCATGTACAAATATCTAATTCTCTCATACTAGTTCCTGAGTAGTTGAGCTTTCAATTACACGTGACGCAAGCCCTTTATTTTCCAAATTTGTCTTGTTTTTTTTTTTGCATCACCTAGTAGAACCCATGTCCGTTGACTTCTGGAGCGGTGTAATCTTATTAACTTCAAAGTCCAGAAGTACGAAGGAAACCCAAATACTAAAGCAAGAAGTCTAGAACAAATTCTATCGAGAACCTCACGAAGATGTGCCAAAAATCTGCTCGCTTGTGAAGTGTTATGACATGCTTCGTCCTCACACACTTGCAATTAACCTTAAAAAAACCACTTTCTATAAGCAAGAAAGAGAGGGGGTGGGGGTGGGAGGTGGTGGGACCTTATAAAGGAAAGTTAAAAATACAGGAGAAACCTAAAAATTAAGAAAATGTAAGAGAACTTGCAAAACTTATTTGAAAAATTAGTAAGATAAGTCATATGCAACTTATTTCACACCGTTTAAGAAGTTTAATTAAGGAAAGAGAAGAGGAGATAAATAAAATTAAGACAATAATCTCACATGCTATTAAATCGCTTTGTTGTTAAGATTTAGATAGATCGTAAGATAATCTCTCCATAATTGTTTTTATTTTAAAAGTTCCCTTCACCCTCTTTCACACTGGTTGCACCTCAAATTGAGGGGAACAAAAACTTAGTTTTCCTTTTCTCCCTCACGTCACCTTCTCCGACGAAAACTTAGTTTTTCCCCTTCCCCTTTACGTTAGCTTCTCCCTCGTTATCGGATTCAAATCCTCTCCACTATCTAAAAAGTAGTGGAGTGACCACTACATAATCACAACCATTAACTATCTAGTTGATGGTTGTGATTTTTTCTTTGAGTGAAAATTAGGAATGAGTACAATACATGGGTGTATGATGAGTATTAGATTTAGATTGTATTATAACCGTCTACTAAGCAATCAATATTAAGATTAAAAGTAACAGTCTCTCCACTACTTTTTGGTAGCGGAGAGGATCCAAATTCCTCGTTACCTAGCCTAATTTCATTTTCATAGGAAGGAAAAAAAAAAGTGTCACGTGACTTTCTATACCCCTCGTTGCCTCCATTTCAAACGAGCTTTTAAGACCAGAGAGCGTCTTCAGAGACAAACATCTCATCAGCTCCGCCTCCGGTCCTCAAAATATCTGAAGAACGATGATAGCATCTCCCGCATCCATAAGATCCATGGTGGCCCGTCCCCCTTCCCTCCTCCTCCTCCTCATCGGGCCCCATCCTGCCAGAAACGCTCCTCCTCTCCCAGCCCCGTCCCAAATCCCACCACTCCCCCCCCCGGGCCCACCGTCAATCCCATCCTCTCCAGCCCTCTAGCTGCGGCTCGCAAAAGCCTCCTGACATGCGAGCCCATTCCCCGCTCCCTCCGGGCCAAGTACGGCCCGCATCATCACCCTGCCCCATCACTCCCGCCCACCGCCATCATTCATCTCGACGCGCTCCCTCGCCCACCGCGCCTCGTCCCCACGGCGCCTCCTTGTCGCGACCGCCCCCCACCACGGGCCAACCGCGTCCTCTCCAGCGACCGCTCAAACGGTCAGTCCTCCCTCTACGGCCGCTGTGGCGCGTCCTCCGCCGCAACCTCGCCTCCGAAATCCTCCACCCCGCAAAGGTCAAGCAATTCGCCGACGCCCGAGACTGGGTCCTCGGGTTACTCATCGAGAAGCTGAATCAGGAATCGAGATCGGGAAATGGGGTCGTCGTCGTGATGGAGGGGTTTCAGTTCGCCATGTTCTGTTTGCTGGTGTTGATGTGCTTCGGGGAGAAATTGGACGTCAACAAGATCAGGGAGATTGAAAACGTGCAGAAGAGGATACACAGGTTGTTCTCCAAGCTCGGCGTGTTCTCGGTGTTTCCCAAGATCACCAAGGTCGTGTTCAGGAGGAGGTGGAAGGAGCTGCTTGATATCCGCCGAAGGCAGGAAGACATCTTCATCCCGCTCATCAGAGCACGAGGGGGGAGCGTTTGCTCGTATGTCGACTCTCTGCTCGAGCTTTCGATCCCTGATGACGGA